ACAACACTGGAGCTATTGCCCTTGCCAAGGAGCCCAGGTTTCACAGGAAGACCAGGCATATCAAGCGTCGCTTCAACTCCATTCGTGAAAGTGTTCAAAATGGAGACATAGATATTTGTAAAGTACATACGGACCTGAATGTAACAGATCCGTTGACTAAACCTCTCCCTAGAGCAAAACATGATCAACACCAGAACTCCATGGGTGTTCGATTCATCACAATGTAACTAGATGATTGACTCTAGTGCAAGTGGGAGACTGTTGAAAATATGCCCTAGAGGCAATAATAAAATGATTATTATATTTCCTTGTTCATGATAATTGTCTATTATTCATGCTATAATTGTGTTATCCGAAAATCGTAATACACGTGTGAATACATAGACCACAACACGTCCCTAGTGAGCCTCTAGTTGACTAGCTCGTTGATCAACAGATAGTCATGATTTCCTGACTATGAACATTGGATGTCATTGGTAACGGGATCACATCATTAGAAGAATGATGTGATGGACAAGACCCAATCCTAAGCATAGCACAAAGATCGTGTAGTTCGTTTGCTAGAGCTTTTCCAATGTCAAGTATCATTTCCTTAGACCATGAGATCGTGCAACTGCCGGATACCGTAGGAGTGCTTTGGGTGTGCCAAACATCACAACGTAACTGGGTGACTATAAAGGTGCACTACGGGTATCTCCGAAAGTGTCTGTTGGGTTGGCACGAATCGAGACTGGGATTTGTCACTCCGTGCGACGGAGAGGTATCTCTGGGCCCACTCGGTAATGCATCATCATAATGAGCTCAATGTGACCAAGGGGTTGGTCACGGGATCATGCATTACGGTACCAGTAAAGTGACTTACCGGTTACGAGATTGAACAAGGTATTGGGATACCGACGATCGAGTCTCGGGCAAGTAACGTACCGATTGACAAAGGGAATTGTATACGGGATTACTTGAATCCTCGACATCGTGGTTCATCCGATGAGATCATCGTGGAACATGTGGGAGCCAACATGGGTATCCAGATCCCGCTGTTGGTTATTGACCGGAGAGTCGTCTCGGTCATGTCTGCGTGTCTCCCAAACCCGTAGGGTCTACACACTTAAGGTTCAGTGACGCTAGGATTGTAGAGATATTAGTATGCGGTAACCAGAAAGTTGTTCGGAGTCCCGGATGAGATCCCGGACGTCACGAGGAGTTCCGGAATGGTCCGGAGGTAAAGATTTATATATGGGAAGTCCTATTTTGACCACCGGAAAATGTTTGGGATTTTTCGGTATTGTACCGGAAAGGTTCTAGAAGGTTCCGGAGTGGGGCCCACCTGCATGGGGGGACCCACATGAACGTGGGTAGTGGGGGCAAGGCCCCACACCCCTGGTCAAGGCGCACCAAGATCCCCCCTTAGAAGGAATAAGATCATATCCCGAAGGGATAAGATCAAGATCCCTAAAAAGGGGGGATAACAATCGGTGGGGAAGGGAAATGATGGGATTTCTTTTCCCCACCTTTGCCAACGCCCCAATGGACTTGGAGGGCAAGAAATCAGTCCCCTCCACCCCTATATATAGTGGGGAGGCGCATGAGAGCCGCACCCTAGCCCCTGGCGCCTCCCTCTCCCTCTCGCTGAGCTTGGCGAAGCCCTGCCAAGATCCCCGCTGCTTCCACCACTAGGCCGTCGTGCTGCTGGATCTCCATCAACCTCTCCTTCTCCCTTGCTGGATCAAGAAGGAGGAGACGTCTTCCCCAATCGTACGTGTATTGAACGCGGAGGTGCCGTCCGTTCGGCGCTAGGATCATCGGTGATTTGGATCACGACGAGTACGACTCCATCAACCTTGTTCCCTTGAACGCGTCCGCTCGCGATCTACAAGGGTATGTAGATACACTCCTCTCTCTCGTTGTTAGATGACTCCATAGATTGATCTTGGTGATGCGTAGAAAATTTTAAAATTCTGCTATGTTCCCCAACAAATTGTACTACATAGCTTGAGCAAGGCGAAGCTGTATCACACTGCACAACTTTTTGTGTGATGTCCCCGTCACATTTATGTACTGAAATGTTGTTGAAAAGCATGTGGCGTCTTTCTCAATAGTCCATATGTTAACAATTAACTAAAATATCACCGAAATAGAGAAGCCCATAATCCAATAACCCATGTACGGTGGTTGTGGCTGGCTTAGCCACGGGCCAATGTCTAATCCATCCGATCGAAATTGATATGTGCCTGCGTGCGTGCGTGTGATGCATATCCAGTAGGGCGTTTGCCGCCGCCGCCGCCGCTTGCCATCAGCGTGTCCTGCACAGGGGCTTGCCACTGCCGCTGGCCGCTGCCGCTACTCGCCACGACAAGAACGCCGTCCATTCATCTAAGTCTGTTGTCGATGCACGGGGACGGCTAGATGCAGGCGGGTCAAATACGGGTAGATGCCGGTGAGCACGATAGATGCACGTACACTACATACTAGTACTAGCTTATGTATTGGTTAATTTTATTATTCCCACCGTCCTAAAATAATTATGGTTTCAGTTTATCCTAAGTTAAATTTGATCAAATTTATAAATATTATGATGAGATCTACGAAATTAAATAAATATGATTTTACAAATTTGAGGAAATTTGACTTACAATAAACCTAAAAATCCAATTATTTTGGAAGAACAGGAGCAGATTTTTTAATGTAAATTATGATCTCAATCAACATAATACATATTCCGTATAAATAGTAAATTAATCTAGTAATTATGCACCTTTTTATAGTAGTTAATGATGAGATAAAAGACAATACCAACTAATGGGGTAAACACTTTTTCAAACCAATTGCTTCAACTTCAAGCTCCAACGTTTTGCTGAGAATTATCATGTTTTCAGTTCCAAACCATAATATTATGCTTTATCAGCACCCTGTCATGAGCCTTAATATTAATATAATATTTCATCAGTTACATCAACAATACTATTCGCCCCCCTCATGTTTAAATCCTGGCTCCGCCCCTGGTTGTCCCGCTTGTACTCTGTAAGAAGGGTTCTATTCGTGGACGGACCTACCCCTGTACGTGTTATATATGGGCAGCCATGAGGTGAATACAGTTGTCTTGCACCAAACAATTCTTCTACACTAGCTAGTAGCTAGCAATATTCCGCAGTTTCAACATTTTCAGTGATGAGTGGATGCTGTAGTTGCTGTTTGGGTCTTGATCCGTGATAGAGTGGCAGGATGCTACAATCTTGAGAATTTTCTCCATTCTCCTTTGGTTCATGCCATCCACTCGTTTTCTGCACAAGGAAGATAGGCTATACAACACACCCTCCACATGATTAGCACCCCAAAGGATTTCTAACCACTCAAGTGCAGCGTTAGGTAAGCGTTCCGCTGTCTAAAACCTGTATTGGAGAAATTGGCTGCCCTTCTCGGGGAACTTCATAAAAGTTGAGATAGAGAGGGGCCAGCTAATGGAAAAAGGCCAAAAAAATCACTGTTTACTGTAACTATACAAGCAAAAGCAACATCTTGGGGCGGGTCAGGGCCCCTGCTGGCTCCGCCACTGGCTCCAGCATGGCTTTATGCTCTGTCGCATTGTTAAATTACCTTGCACCTTTTTTTTGGCAGTTTTTGTAGGAGGTTGACTTCAGCGACATGTATTTGCAAATTTAACATTCTTTTATTGTATTTTGTGTAGATTATTGCCGAACTTGAATCAACATCAGTAAGGATCAATCGAAGTCAACATCAGTATTCTTCAGAGAAATCAACATCAGTATACTGAAGGTGAATCAACATCAGTAAGGATCTATCGAAGTGCTGGGTGATTCTTCAGGTGGAGTGCTTTACTTGGTTTAATCTCATATACTTATTTTTTCCAGTTCGGAGTTCAAGTTGAATTGACAGCACGAAATTCTTCAGAGGCAGCTGATGAACGTGGACCCTAATCCTTTCGAAGGAAAAACATCTGAATATTGAGAGATTTTACTGAATGTTCTAGAGAAAAACATGGAGTTTGGTTTTCTCTGAAGTACCCAAGTTCTATATATATATGACAGTTTTCTCCTACCATAGCGCATTTGTGAATGTTATTGTTAAGAACCATGCCAAAATATGGATCGATCATCTGTATTGAACAAACCATTTAACATGTTATGAGCGAGCTGGGTGTATACTCCCTCCGAGTTTAACCTACAAAAACACCTTATATTTTGATATAGAGGTAGCTAGTAGATAGATGCAAGGAAAAATATAATAGATGGATTCATTTGTGGAGCTTGTAATGAGAGACGGCGTAGCGTTGGCCAGCGGCTCAGCCGTGCGCTCATATCCCTCAAGACACATGAAGAAGAAGCAAGCACTACTGACCGCTCGATCAACATCCAATTACTGCAGCGAGGACAATGGCACTGTGGTGTTGCTGTTGTGAAACAACATAAAAGAGTGGTGCCGACTGCCGAGATAGGAGAGAGGAGTGAACCAAAGAAAGAAGAAGAGATCAGGGAGGAAGATGAGCAAGCAGGGTGGTAATGGTATGGCTAGCACGGTCCCTCTCCTCACCCCCTACAAGATGGGCGCCTTCCATCTCTCCCACAGGTCGGTCTGCATTTTCCTCTCTCTCTCTCTCTCTCTCTCTCTCCTTGTTCTCTGTGTGTGTGGCCCAGTGGTTCAGCCGGTCTTCTCCCTCTCTCCTCCGCCGGCCGGAGTTGGGGAGGGAGGGAGGAGGCTGTGTCCGCTGTAATATTTAGGCTCTTCCACTCTTGCTGATCCTTATTTGTAGCCTTCCATCGACGCACCTGCCTCTGCTCGATGGTGGTGTTGGAGGCAGAGGAGTGGATCTCACGGGACGGCAGGTCCTCTATTTTCATCCCCGGCTGTCGGTGGCCTTCCATTGACGCCAACGGGCCTCTTCTCGATGGTGGTGTTGGAGGGAGAGGACGGCAGCACCTCTATTTTCATCCCCGGCTGTGGGTGGCCTTCCAGATCCAACTTAATTTCTTCTTGACATCGTGGTGATGGAAGAGGAGCTCATCCTCAGCTGTGATTGTGGTGTTATGGTACTGGCACTCAGCCGGGGTTCTCTTCCTTCCCGCGCACTCATCTTGTCGAAAGGCAACTTCTCTTTTCCTTCGGCTGCTAAGGTGCCTGCGTCCCTCCCGTTCCTATCAGATGGAGATACCAAGCGGCCATGTCCCCAGCGACGGCTACGATCCCCTGCTGAATCGTCCATGTGGGATAAGTTCCAATTCTTCGTCTCGATCTGGTGTCCCCTTGGCAAAATCCTTGAACCTTGGGTGAAATTTTTACTTTTGTTTGGGACCTTCTACGAGCTGTACTGTCTTCGGTACGACAGCATATCAGTGCTACTGACCTTCCCATGTTACCATGCTACAGTGCAATGGCAGCCATCGGAGTAGAAATGAATGGATATGATGCAATGCGTGGTGTTCTTTTCTATACAGCCCCATGGAAGATGCTCCACTTCTCCATTTTCTCCTTCTGCAAGGGAATAATTACCAATGGCACACAAATATTATGAAGATTTTTTTTTTTGAAAATGGAAGAACCTAGAAACAGCCGTGTTGGCCCTGGACGAGTCCTCGAGGTCTGTCATTAGACCACATCAAGTGAAGCAGCTACAAGAGCTGCCGAAATCTATGTCGCCCGTATTCAAATAATATGGACATTGAGGAGGAGAATCCAGGGGACAAACAAACACCAACTTGGACCAAACCAAAAATAGATTGCTGGGATCGGTAGTTTTTCCTCGCCTTTCTAGTCTCTAGAGGAGACCAATCTGGTAGAATGAACTATAATGGGGAAGAGCCTGGAATGAGGAGACGTACGAATAGATTAAGGAGTACTGTTGTGATTTGTGAATGTGCCATGGCCAAGGACTGTCCTTTGTAATAACACACTTTCCCAGGGTGGTTTCTAAGTATTAGCTAAGGGGATACTTCCACGCTGACCCTGTTCATCTGATACGAATCTATTGGCTGGCAATGCTGTGCAGCACGGTAGCACCGGAAAGGTCCGTAGCATTGGATACTTTTCCCTTCCTTATAGACTAGTAACTCTGGGCAGACCGGCGGGGTCGGCGGCATGGTCGGAGGAGCCGATCGTGTGGCAGTTGGGCACCGCGCGGCTGCAATTTTTTTTACTCCACCAGCCCAAGTGTTGTATATTTGCAAGAGTTGGTGCTCCAAACTGGTGGTGTTCTATATTTTGAGTAATAAATTTTACAGATAGGGCATCTATTGGAGTACAATTTTAGAAAGGTGGTCCTGACTTATTATACAACACGTATTAAAGATGATCTAATGCAACCCCACATGCCATGGGAGCACTGTGTGGAACATGTTGACGCACCAGGATCGAGTCTAGTGAATTTTCTTTGGAGTATGAGAACAATATGTTTCATAATATTGCAAAACTCCTTTTACATGATGGTCCATTTGTTCCTGAGAGGTTTCCTCTTTCTTTCTTTTTTGTCCAGGGTAGTTCTCGCACCCCTTACAAGGACACGATCCTATGGCAATGTTCCTCAGCCCCATGCCATACTGTATTATCAGCAGAGAACAACCAAAGGAGGCCTCTTGATTGCCGAGGCCACTGGAGTCTCAGACACTGCCCAAGGGTGTGTGCCCTAGATCCTTAATTGGACTCTGCCTTTTGAGATCTCAGTAGTCATGTTCAATTTCTTGTTCTTTATCACAGTTCAATGATTTCTAAAGATGGAATGTTTCCTTTGTTCATGCAAGGTACAAAGATACTCCTGGCATTTGGACAAAAGAGCAGGTGGAAGCATGGAAGCCTATCGTAGATGGGGTTCATGCCAAGGGAGGGATATTTTTCTGTCAGATTTGGCATGTCGGAAGAGTCTCTAATCATAGTAAGTTTAATAAGAGAGTGGATTTTTGCTCTCTAGCTCCATGGAGCCCTTCGTTTTTCAAACATTCAAAAATCATTTTTTTAAGTTTAAAAAAATCTTATATATGTATATAAGATCTGTGTAAAATTTCAGCACGACATACATTTTTATGGGGCCTGTACAAAAATACAAAATCATGTATTCTTAGTATATTATAGTGAATAGTACATGTGCTAGAAATATGCGATTTTGCCATTTTATTTGTAGGTCACATAAAAAGTATTTTAACCATGAAACTTCACAGACAAGTAGTATACAACCATATATGTATAACTTCTTAGAATTTTTTGAAACTTAATTTTTTTGAAGATTTCAAATAAAGGGCTCCATGGAGCTCGTGATCCATTAGGCATTTCCGTTATATTCACCAATGAAAAAAAAAATTCACCGATGAATCTTCATTTGAAACAGAGAAGATGAAATGGCCAAAAGGCCAAAGGAATGTTTCATACAAAATATTGGACCGAAAGAGAAAAACTTGAAATCCAATCTGATGTCTTCCTCTTTTCAAATTAACCGAACAAGATTATATTGGTGTTATTAAATCTGAAATGCTTGATCCCTATGTCACCGGAAATGGAGCTCGAGCTCCATGTAGCCATTTATTTGAAATCTTCAAAATTCAAACTTTAAAGTTTTTTAAAATCCTGGAAAGGTACACATGTACATATGGATGTATACTATTCCCTTTGTAAACTAATATAAGACGTTTTAGGTCACTAAAGGCATCTTATATTAGTTTACAGAGGGGATACTTGTCTACGAAGTTTCTTGACAAAGTACTTTTGTTATGTGATCTAAGACCTATATATACTTGCTGATAATGTGTGGCTCTTTTTATTTCTTTTATAATACCAACACATGTTTGATGTCTGCATGCAGCTTATCAGCCTAATGGACAAGCTCCAATATCGAGCACCGATAAGCCATTGAAACCTATGGTGATAGATAATCACATAGTAGCTGATTTCTCAACGCCTAGGCCACTGGAGACCGATGAGATCCCTATGGTCATCAATGATTTCAGGGTTGCTGCTAGAAATGCAATTGAAGCTGGTAGCTATGTCCCTCTCACAATTAGCACTCAAAATATTAGTAACATGTTAAGTTTAGCATAAAGCACTTGCACATCCTGCAAAAAAGTATAAAGAGAAGTAGCAGAAAAAATGGTGTACATTCAAGATCCCTATGGAAGGGAAATCTAACCTCATTACTCTGTATGGTTTACAGGATTTGATGGTGTTGAGATCCATGGGGCTCATGGCTATTTGATCGATCAGTTCTTCAAGGACCAAGTCAATGGACGCACTGACAAATACGGCGGGAGCTTAGAGAATCGTTGTCGGTTTGGACTAGAAGTGGTCCAAGCCGTGGTAGATGAAATCGGAGCTGATAAGGTTGGGATGAGGCTCTCGCCCTTTGCAAACTACTGGGAATCGTCAGACTCCAACCCGGGAGCTCTAGGCCTGTACATGGCACAAGCGCTGAACAAAATTGGGATCCTCTACTGTCACACGGTCGAGCCATGGATGATAACGTTCGTTGACAAGGTTGAAACTCCAAATAGCCTTGGCGCCATGCGGGATGCTTTCAAGGGAACGTTTATCGTAGCCGGTGGCTACAACAGGGAGGATGGAAATGCAGCTGTCTCCGGTGGCTATGCTGATCTGGTTGCATGCGGGCGCTTGTTCTTGTCTAATCCTGACTTGCCTCGGAGGTTTGAGATCGATGCTCCTCTAAACAAGTACAACAGAGATACTTTCTACATCTCTGATCCAGTTGTTGGATACACTGATTACCCATTCCTTTCATCCAATGTATAAATGGCTGTTTTATAAACGGGCTCATCCCCGCTCTGAACTATGATACCCGGACGTATTCATTGTTACTGAACCTGTTTAATAAATTTGGCTGTGTGCATCATTGTGATGCAGTGGCTAGGGGTCTTACCCTCTTTTTTATCAAAGAAGGGCTCGCCCCCTTCCGATTTTCATTACTGAAAACCACGCCATAGAGTAACAAAGCATTCCAGAGCTACATAGCAGGACCTAACACAAAAAACTACCAGTATCAGCATATCACCAACAGGCCCACACAGGCCTCAACATTTACGAACACAGCAACAGGGTACCAAGACCCAGCACATAAAGTCTTATAGAACCAACAAGGCGACGGCAAAATAAAAGCGATCTAACTAAGCTAGAGAAACAAAGAAACTAAGAACTGCAGCAGCCGCGTCGAGGATGTCATCAGCCGGGTAGCCTTGCCACGTTGATCCGCCACCCCTGTCCAGCTGTGTATACCTCACTTGCTGCCCGTTCTAGCACTCTTGCTCCCAGCTCTAGCATTTTTCTTGATGGCTCCTTTATCTGCAATATGGACCAATCAACCAACCATCAACTCATTAGTTTGATTATATATAAAGGATCATTTATCCTCTTATTCTCAAATATTACAGCGTTTCTACTTTTCCAAATTGCCCAGAATAAGGCAGAAGCCCCAACCATTACCACTTTCTTGTCTTCTTTGCTAAATTTGTTAATCCACTCCCCAAAACATTCTTTAGTATTTGCAGGAGTGGTCTTAAGGCCACAAACACACTTAACCAGGCTCCATAACAGGGAAGCCACAGAACAGGCAAAAAGCAGATGATCAATTGATTCATCCTTTCCACAAAGCACACATTCCTTTCCCCCTTTCCACCCTTTTCTGAGCAGGACATCCCTAGTTAAAATGCTTTTCTTATTAATCAGCCACAGAAAGACTTTGATTTTGGCAGGAACTTTGATTTTCCACAGGTATTTTTGTGGGAATTTCAACCCAATGGTAATCATTTTCTTATATAAGGATCTCACAGAAAACTTTCCATCAGCAGTGAGGGTCCAAGTAATCCTATCCTCCCCTCCCTTCATTTTTATATTTTCACATCTTCTTTTAAGAGCATTCCACAAATCCAGAGTTTCCCCATATAAGGTCCTCCTAAACCTAAATCCCCCCCCATCCTTTATGAATGGCATCTTCCACAGTAATCTTGTGGTCAAAGCATATATCATAAATTCTAGGATAAGCATCTTTCAAAGGCTTGTCATCTACCCAAGTGTATTCCCAAAATCTAGTATTTTTCCCATCCCCAAGTTCTTTTTTCGTAAATTAAAATATTCTTTATTTTCATCAGGTTACTCCAAAACTGGGAGTCACCAGGTTTTTTCTCTGTTAGAGCTAAGCATTTCTCTGTTTTATACTTTCTTTTCAGAATGTCTTGCCAAATCCCTCTCTCTGTCTCTATTTTCCAGAACCATTTGGCCAACAAAGCTATGTTCATCATTTCCAGATTAAAAATTCCTAGGCCCCCCATCTCTTTGGGTAGACAGCATTCTTTCCAGTTCACCAAATGATATTTTCTAACATTCTCATCTTCTTGCCAAACCAGCCTTGCCCTGAAGAAATCAGCTTTCTTAATAAATTTTTTAGGGATGGCATAGAATGACATCATGAACAGAGGAATATTAGTCAAACAGGCTTGAACCAGGGTAATCCTACCAGCTATAGAGCCTAGTAGCTTTCCCTGCCAGCATCCACATCTTTTTTCAATCTTATCAGTTACACAATTCCAGTGTGCATTTCTAATCCTGGTCTCAGACACATGCATACCTAGGTATTTGATGGGCATATCTCCCATTTTGCAAGTCAGTAATTCCTGATAAATCAATTGTTTTTCTTTAGCTTTCCCAAATAGCATCAGTTCACTTTTATGGAAGTTTATTTTAAGTCCTGACATTTGTTCAAAGGGCCCTAATATGAATTTAAGATTTCTCACACTTTCCAAATCATCTTTAATTAGAAAGATGGTGTCATCAGCATATTGTAACATGTTAACTCCTTTATTGCCATTTTCACTCAAGACCCCCTTGACAATATCATGTTCCAGGGCATTATTCATTAAAATAGCTAGGGCATCCGCAGCTACATCAAAAAGTAGTGGTGACATAGCATCTCCTTGCCTCAAGCCTTTGTAAGTTTTGAAGTAAGGCCCTATATCATCATTGACTTTAATTCCTACATGCCCCCATCTCATAGTCTCCATAACCCAGTCACACCACTTATCTGGAAAACCTTTCAATCTTAGCATTTGCATAAGAAAGGGCCATTTGATTTTATCATATGCTTTTTCAAAATCAACCTTGAAAACCAAAGCATCTTCTTTATCTCTATGAAATGAATTCAAAGCTTCATGCAAAATAACCACCCCTTCCATAATGTACCTCCCCTTGATAAATGCAGTTTGTGTTTTGGAAATAACAGGGGAAACACACTTGGTCAGTCTGTTCATCAAAAATTTTGTAACAATCTTGAAACTCACATTTAGTAGGCAAATAGGCCTAAATTTTTGAATTTGCTTGGCATCATTGGTCTTGGGGATCAGTGTAATGATGCCATAATTAAGTCTGGCTATCACCTTTAGCAAAACCATCCACTAGAGCTTTCAGATCCCATTTAACCAAATCCCAGAAGTCTTGGCAGAAGTCAGCAGGGAACCCATCAGGCCCTGGACTTTTGTTTCTTTTCATGCCAAAAACTACATGATGTATCTCATCAAGGGAAAACGGGGACAACAAATCTTCTATCTCTTGTGGTTTTATCTTTTCCATAACCATCTCCCCCGAGGATATGTTAGATTCTTCGGGGTGTCCAAACAAATCTTTGTAAAATTTAGTAATGTAGTCCATCAGGTTCTTGTCACCCTCTATATTCCCTTCTTCTTGTTCCAAGGAAATTATTCTGTTCTTCCTTCTCCTCCCATTCACCTTTGCATGGTAGTATCTAGTGTTCCCATCCCCATCTTTAATCTCCTTATCCTTATATCTCTGTATCCATTTTATTTCTTCTTGTGTCATAATTCTTTTCAGTTGCTCTCTAAGCTCTTTCTGCTCAGTTCTATCTGCAGCAGTTAAGCCCATTCTCTCAGCTCTTTTATCTATTCCATCTAATTTATTGATAATTTCTACTTTGAGTTCCCTATACCAAGCATCCATGTTTTTATTCCAACCTTTGGCTTTTCTTCTTAGATTCCTCATTCTTAATTGCCATCTATCCAACACATTCCCTCGATATCTCTCATTCCAAGTCTTATATATTAATTCTTTAAATCCTTCCCTCAGGAACCAGGCATTTTCATATCTGAATGTATAGTTTGTTGTTTGTGACTCCCCTGTATCTAAGTATAGATGAGTATGGTTAGAGATTTCCCTAGAAAAGGCTTGAAGGATAGTCAAAGGATACCTTTCCTCCCATGCAGGGCACATCAACACTCTGTCCAACTTCTCATAAGTGGGGTCATCCTGGTTATTAGCCCAAGTATATTGCCTCCCATTTAAAGGTAGCTCCCTCAAACCAGCTTATTCTATTATGGCATTGAACATAAAAGACCACTGTTCATTCAACATGGGTTTGTTTTTTTCTTTATCATTCCTAATGATGTTAAAGTCTCCTCCCACCAAACAAGGCAGTGGATTGTCATGATATAGTCTAGCTAACTCAGCAAGAAAATCAGCCTTCCCTTCCTTCTGTGCATCCCCATATACAGCAACTAGATTCCAATGCATTTTCATTTTTTTGTCAAACAATAGCATTCTTATGAAATATTGCCCATTCTCAATGTGTTCTACATCGAACATCTCCCTATTAATGCCAAGTAGGATTCCTCCTGACATTCCTCTTAGGGGATTCCAGCTCCATTGATAGCTTTTACCCCCACATAGGTTGTGCAATTCATTTTTGGTGAAGTCTCGTTTGATTGTTTCTGAAATCCCAACAAAATCTAGCTTGTATTCCATGATCATCTCTCTTATATATCTCTTTTTATGGTCTTGACCTATACCCCTCACATTCCAAAAAAAACCCTCATTTTTGATTAGCTACTAATTAGTAAATTTCTGCTATTTTTATCTTCTATTCAAATCTCCCTTAGTCTAAATGTTTATAGGTTAGAGACTAATTAGTCTTCTTCCCTCTTTTTCTCCTTAGCACTCCAATCCCCACCGACTGCTTCACACAGCTTAATGCTGGTGAGCCTCTTATGCCCCCTTTTTTTCCCAGAGAGCATCTCTCTGAGTTTTTTTATATTGTTGTTCTTCAATCTCAGCATCAGAGTGTTCCAAATCAGAACATAGTTCATCCAAATCCACATCTCCAGTATTAATGTATACTGGTGTGTCCCTACCTTTTTCTATATTCTCTCTTGCCTTCTCATTTTCATTTTCATTCTCCTTCTCTCTCTTAATATTTTGAAAATATAAATCTCTTCTAACTTTCTCCATTTTATTGATAATATCCATATTTCTCTCAATCATGTCTATAGAGCACCCCAAGTCAATCCCTACCATGGAACTAATTTGCAGTAAGGAAGAGTTAACAAAGTCAGAGCCAGTATCCTTACCATAGTTATCTCTTTCTTCAGCTCTGATCTTAGCCATATCCTCTATTTTCTGATCTTCCTTCCCTTTGTTCCTGAGACTTCTTTTAAGTTCAACTTATTTTTCTTCCTCCTCCTGATTTGTAACCTCAGCTCCATGCAGGTCAATCATCCTCTCTCCCAGTGTTCCAATTGATTCCTGGCTGGCATTATAATCAGTGGGTTCATTGTATTTCCCAGACTCAGACTCTCCTTTCTTTTGTTGGTTTTCCTTCTCATAGTCTTCCAGGTCCATATTGGCCAGCTTCATTTCATATTGTTCTCTGTTAACAGCCTCTTGAATTAACTTTTGGATCTCTTCCTGTTGTTGATTGATTTTTCCCTGCATCACTTGTTGATTGCTTTTCAAAT